ACGCCAGGTATGGATCCGACACCCACGAAACAGAGGATCATCTTCCCTACCCTCGACATTGCAAAGCTGGCGACTGGTCTCAGGTACGCCCAGAGAGACAAGGATCCAGCCATCGCCTTCTTGAGGATGGGACAGTTGCTCCTCGAGGGTGCCATGCTTTACCGTCCTCTCCGGGAAGCGACCATTGCTGCCATGGCCGAGCTGGATTATGGCCACAGTGTTCTCCTCGATGTGCATCTCTGCCTCCTGGATGAATGGAGCACGGATGCTGATTTTGTCACTTCCAAGTCTTTTGCATCCGCCTTCGTCGATCTGTGCGTGAATCCGACGGTGGCGAAGTATCTTTCAATAGTCCACCCGAAGGTCACTAATTGGCCGTTGGCCGTGGACACGTTTCCGTTGATCCATGACAATTCCTTCCTGAGCCGTCGACGGTTCAGAAAGAAAAAACCGTCAAATGATACTGGTTGGCACTGCGGACGTGATAGATGTTCTTCATCGACTGCTTGCACGGCAAAGACGTCTACAACGCTACCACCACTTGCTAGGTGTGGCCATTGAAGAAGTACTTCCGTGGCTGCATGCTCCGGCCCACGCCCAGGTCCTCAACTCGCCCTCCATGGAAGCCCACATCTGGGAAGCTATCGCTGGGGAGGCAGGTCATCCATCTGGCTCCGGCTTCGTGGAGGCTAACACGGAGGTGAACAATTTGCTTGTTCTGCTGAGACCTGGCTTGCCTACTTCACTTGCTGAGCTTTGGTCCGCACTCCCGCAGGTTGAACACCACACGGTGGTAGGCCTGCGTCGCCGACTTTGGCGTGAGAACGCCCGCCCTCTACATGCCCGGGAAAGGGGTGTTTTGCCGGAGGGGAGATGGCCATCTGAGAAGGATGAGGACCTCTACTTGGTGCAAGCGAATGAAAGCACGGAGCTGAATATCCCGCCGAGTTGTACTCGTCCTGGACTACTGCCTCGTCGTGGAGTCCAGCATGCACGACGACGTCATCATGTACCTCGGCCAGCTCCGTTGTTTCGAGAGGCACGTCAGCCGGCGTCATCCTCTTGCATGGTCAATGCCTTCTACCCGCCGGTGTCCATGGAGGCAGAGGACGACTTAGTCATGGAGCACATGGAGTCAGAAGAGGGGGTCAATGAGATCGGCGAGTCCGCTGGTGATGATGGGGAAGGGCTTCTGAGTTCTCCTGTTGGTGCTGGCGTTGGTCTCAGTGAGGGTGAGCTGGATGATAGTTCAACTAGTTCAGCGTCCGTTGAGCTAGAGGATGAGAGTGATGCAGACCGCCGACGAACTGGTGCGTCAGACTGAAGGTAGCATGTATCCATATCTTGCCTGATGGCTGAGATGTGTTTTGTTTTGGTTCTGCCGGTGTGGTAGACCTGGTGTATGCCTGCTACAGGTGGGCTTCTGCGGAGAAAAGGAGCCACTACACTTTAAAAAAAAACCCCTAAACCCTAAACCCTAAACCCTAAACCCTAAACCCTCAACTGGGGCTGCCAGGAATCACGATTTGGGAGCCCAGAGATCCCCCAATACCCCTTAATTAAGGAGTATACGGTCTAGGGTTTAGGATTTTTCGGTATAGGGTTTAGGGCGGGTTTAGGGTGTAGGGTTTAGGGTTTAGGGTTTAGGGTTTAGGGAGTATTAAGGAGTATACTTAGATAGCCAACGGGATAACTTTAAGCTTTTCGGTGTTATATATTAGGTCCATCTTAAAAAGTTTGATGTTTTTGGGGCCTGGTTGTTGAAGAAGAGAGTATACCTTAAATCCTAATATTCAGGCCCCCAGAAGTTAAGAAATCCGCCCTTAACTAAGGAACATACCTTGAATCCTAGTCTTCAGGCCCCCTATAATTTAAGGTATACTCCCCTTAACTAAGGTATATTGGGATCTCTGGAAGTGTGTTGATACACCCAGGGTTCCCTATGCAAGATCGCTTCAATACGTGATTAGGATTTAGGGTTTAGGTTTTAGGGAGAGTATTCGTCATGTAAAGGATCTTGGAGCCTCTGACCCTAAACCCTAAACCCTAAACCCTAAGCCCTAAACCCTAAACCCTAAACCCTAAACCCTAAACTGCAAAGTCTGATCGAACCTTGGACCGCAAAGCCTCTAAGCACCCGCTCATTCCGGGTTTAGTTAGGGAAGTCAGTGCTTTCCGGTTCAGGGTTTTAGGGTCTACGGCTGTTGGGTTTACTTGTAGGGTTTTTAGAGTAGGATTCAAGGGCTTGGAATTTTAGGGTTGAGGGTTCAGATTGGGGTCCGGAGTGTACAGGCGGGGCGTTTAAAAACACACCCTTAGTCAAGGCTGAAACGATAGACCTATAGCCCGATTCGGGTGGTTCCGTGACTTCCAAGCCTGCTGAAAGCCAATTTGGACATAGCCGGTTAGTTTTTATCCCAAGGACAGATGTTCTAGCTGTGTCCCCGCTCTTGCCCCCTTGGTGTTATTTAACCGCAACCTTTCACAACAAATCGACTGTAGTGAATATTCTCTGGGGCCCTAAACCCTAAACTCTACGCCACAAGCCCCAAGCACCCAATCCCCCGACCCTCTTAAAACCCAAAAGCCTTAAATGACCCTAAACCCTAAACCCTTAAGAAAAACAAACCTGAAAGCCAAAACTCTAAAGCCCAACACCTGAAGCCCTTAGCTGGGTTCTGGAGTACCAGGCTTCAACGCTTATGTTGGGGGACCAGTTCCTTCAACGAACCATTAGTAATGAAACACAAGTGCCTACTTTTGCCTCCCTGGTTACTTCCAAGCCCTAAACCCTAAACCC